GGAGCAACCTCATTTATACCTTGCGATGCGTTTTAACTATGTCAGCCTAACGTCTCGTATAAAATTATGAAGAAAAAAAAAGTTTCTTAGAAACAAATCAAATCATATCCAAGTTTTTCAAACGTCAAATTTGTGATAATGTGTCTATAATGCATTGGAGCACCAACAAACCATACAACCAACTACTTTGAAAAATCGCCTATATCTTTTAAATTTGTGTTGGTAGATAATTTGTATGTTAAAGCAAGTAATTTTTTTTTTAAAACTAAACTTTGAGCCTTTAAGTGGATATACTTTTTTGCGTAGTTGCTATAAAATTTTACTTTATTTCAATTTAATTTTACACACTAAACTAATAAAAATTTAAAATCTTTTATTTTCATACAATTGCAAAATTCATGAAATAAATAGTTATATTATAATATTAGAATATAAATGTGCGGTCCCGCAGTGGACTGATCGTTAAGACACGGTTCACAGCAGATCACCGAAGTCAAGCATCACTGGCTACGGTCAGTGTGCGGGCGGGTGACCACTTGGATCAGTCTGCATAGGGTCCGAGGGTGTGCGGTATTGGTCCTCGTTAAACTGTTCTACCGTAAAGTGCTCGACTTCGCGCGCAGGTCGTCGGGCTACCGAAGCGGGAGAGCCATCCCCTCTGCAGAGAATCAAAATTGTGATGGCATGTCTTCGGTTCATCCTGGATGTTTCCAGACCGTCGCTAATAGCCCAATGTGCAGCTCTAGTGCGACGTAAATGAACAACAACAACAATATAAATGTGCGAAAACCGATAATGAAAATGCGATAGGAAATATTCTAGTAAATTTACAGGATGGGTCGAGCTGAAAAACCGCACACCATTGCCGAAAATCAAAATAAGAAAGGTATGGCAGAAATAATTGATTGTGTTCTCCAATAGTATGCGCGGCAAAGAAATTTGTAGCAATTTAATATTTCAACAACACGGTATCTGATTGGATACATAAGATTTTAGATCATAATAAAATAATTGGTTGATTAAAAAAGTAGTACCGCATTTGATGAAAGTACAGATATTGCCAGTCAATCCAAACTGTTCAACCCTTCATAAAGCCATTATTACGTTTAAATATTTTAGAGATTAAGATTGATTTATAAAAAGGAAATTATTTAACTTAGTAACTAAAATATAGGTGACTTTTTAAGACTTTTATTTGCGAAGGTATGTGAGATTTTCACAATTTTGCATATTGCAAAGAATTAGCTATAAACTTGAACTTCAGTTCTTATAAATAACCGTAATTATGAAATTTGCTTTTAAAACTACTAATATACTCAATCAGAAATGATCAAATAACCGATTTATAAATTCTGTGCTCGAAACTACGAATGAGAAATTATCAGAAGAACAAGGATGCCACGGGCGACTAAAAATATGAGAAGTGGTAGAAATTCAATTAATCTTATTTATCAAATTATTCAATCGTAACTATCATTATGACTTATAAAACAAATTATTCATATTTAAAGCGAAAGCATCCATTTTTAATAGTAGAAAGATATATGCTAGAAAAAGTGGCTATTTTTAATCTCGTTTAATAGAATTTTGTTATTTATTTATCACCACTTTTTAGATTTTAAGTCGCTTGTGGCATCCCTGAATAAAGAACGCATGATGCACAAAAAATAATAGCTCCCCAATATTGGTTTTCTACTTTCTTGATCTCACACTAACCTTTTCTGTTACCTACATTTAAGTAAACAAAGCTCTTCCCTTCCCCCCCATACTTTTTGAAGTTATCAGCTGATGGTCGTGAAAATCACAGGTGGATAAATAGCTTCCCCCCACATTTAAAAATTAATGAAGTTAGTGGGAAGTATGCTCAACAAGGCCGTATAAAGGTCTAATCAGGCCGTGCGAATAGCTAATATCAAGTCTCCATTCCAATCACTCTTTCTACTTACTGAAGTAAAATGGCTTTCCAGAGGAAAAGTTTTAACAAGGTTATCTGAACTGCATGACGAGCTTATGGGTTTCCTTAAGGGTCAACAAATTTCTATATACGTGACTCATGTAGAATTTAATTATTTCAGGAAGAACAATGTTTTCTGAAATTAACATATTTGGTCGTCCAACTCTAATCTGGTTTCGTTTGAAGAGGGATGATCATTTAGAATTTCGAAGCTAAAAAAAATTGGGAACCACTTGTTAACTATCGATCACCAACTCCCGTGTTTGTAACTAACTGCTTATTGTTTCAAGAAAATTAGAAAACATTTACTAAAAAAAAAAAATTATTCTTCGTTCTCATGTCAATATTATCTTCTTTTTCCCAAAGACTTGCGGCATGATTTAAGAGTTTTTTTTTTTTTTTTTTTTTAAATTCTTATTAAGATGCTTTGGTTAATTCAAATCACTTTACGTAGTTAACATTTTTGAAAAAAATAGCTAATGCCATAACGAGTTTTGTTGACAGTAATTGATAGTTTCGTTTACCAAAATAATCTTGTTTAATATTTTATGTCAAAGAGAATATCTGACAAACCTGGAAAAACATTTTCCAATATTTTTTTTCAATCTTTATTTACTTATATTGCATGCATTTTTATTAACCGGACTTAATTTTATGTAAAAGAAAGAAACATTAAAAAATAAATAAATAAATAAATGCATGTGTAATTTTTGAAACCTTATATGCATTTTTGTCACTTAAGGTGTAAAACACTTGGTAACTATAACAGTTTTATGTAAAGTTTGTGTTAACATGATGATGATGATAGTTATTATAGGCGAAAATTTTTTCTCCCAATTGCACTAGATTTTTTTAAATAAATCTTAGATACTTTTGTATCGCTTATTTCAAATCTGCAATCGGTTTCTCTTTTCAAGCTACAGTTTTTTAAGACATTTTCAGTCCATTTTTTGCAGAAATGTACAAGTTTAAAAACGTTACATATAACAGGAGGTGCATAAAATGTTGCAACAAACCTTGGGATATAGTGCACATTATCAGGATTAAAATTGCACAGGAACCCATGCCCAGAAATGCCATCATACGATTATAGGAACGCTTCCCTTTTGTGTGCTTCTGAACAGGTCATGATAGGCCAGGTCTGACGACATTTCCAGGTATGGGTTCCTGTGGAATTTTAATCTTAATGATGTACCTTAATTCCCCTAGACATTTGTTGCAACGTCTATTAGATCCCCTGTTATATATATCGTTTTTAAACTTGTATATTTCAAAAATAAAAAAAAACCCCAAAATGTTACTAAAATATTTGAGTTTTAGCAGCAAAATTAATTTCAGATTTGAAATCCCCACACCCGAATTAAAAAGGATCAAGTATTTGTATAAATGCAACAAAAAATTTCTTCCCCGGTGTTTTCTATTACTACTTGAGTACCTAAATATTAATAATAACAATAATAATAAATAAAAAAATTCAAAATTCCATTTTAGAATCTAAATCCATTAATTTTCACTCTTTTTTTCTTAAAAAAAGATAATAAAATTTACAATGCATAGCAGAAAATAATATTACAGTATCTGAAAATAACTAATATATCACAATAATTTTAAGTTCTTGCTAATGAAAAGTTCACATACTTCTGTATTGAGTAAAAAATCATGAAACTTACTCTTTGATAATTGGTCCTGAGTGATTATTTCACTAGATTATAATATTATTATAGTAAGATATGTTTCAAACATTGTATACAAACTTGAAAAAAAAATGTATTAATTCAATTTTCTATGATCTAAAAAAACAGAAAAACTTATGAGAAAAAAAATCTCAAAAAAGTAAAAAGTACCGAATAAGTTCTATGTATCCTACTTTTAATACAGAACCTTTTTTAATACAGAACATTCATTGAATAACCTAAATTTGTTTTCTATCCAAGTTTTTTTGCTATCAAACAGTATTCAAATTGACATTAATTAATTTACTAAAATTCAAACCTCTATTTCCATTATATAACTTTGAGTAGTATTCTGAAGGAGTAATTAAACTAGAAAAAAATCAAGGTTAGTAGACAGAAAAGGATATGCTCTTCCTTGTGTATTTTTCACACACCACTTAGGTAACCAATTTTATAGCTAGGTACGAGATATTAAGTAAGAAGTAAAAGAAAAGAAAACATAAAATTAATCTAAAATTAACATTACTAATAGTTATGATTCAAGTGTGAATTTAGAAAAAAAATCTAAAAACACTTTAAAAAGTTATCAAATGATAATCACATAAGTATTTTTATTAAAAAAAATTAAAGTTGTTGTCCTGAAATTTTACTCAAGTTATTTTCTATATGTTCCAAAGAATTACACATATTTAAATTTTTTTTTTTTAAATTTAAGGGACTAAAAAAATATACTAAAGCTATTTAACACTAAAAGCTACTTAGCTTCAAATAAGAAATAAATTATTTGATGAATATTTATATGTGTAGAACAAAACATTTCATTTATCAACAAGAAAGCTTTAAAAAAAAAAAAAAAAAAAAAAAAAAAAAAAAAAAAAAAAAAAAAGGAAAAAAATAAATTATAACAAGTGTTTCCAAATGGCTTTTAAGAACTACAAAAAACTATTACTCAAATGTGATTATTCATCTGAAAATAAATGTCTTACAACAATAATCTTGTTAAAAAATAACCTTTTAGAATGTGCTAAATAAATATTAAATTTAAGATATATTTAACACTCTAAGGATTAAGCCCATAGGAAAAATTGATCTGAAATTTCCCTGCCATACATTAATTTGCAATTAAATATCACAAGTGGAAAGCCAATGCAGGAAATCCACCAGCTTCAATTGATTTGTGAGGTGAAATTCAATGTTTACTTAGTCAAAATCAAACTTTCCATAGTTAAATTTTTGTAAATGGAAAAGAGCATAAATGGAACATAAAACAAAAACACAATAAAATGCCTTAAAATATTAAGGCATTTTGTTTTTGATATGACTGAAATATTTTTTAAGCTTATATGACTATAGTAGAATATAATAACTATTCATAAGTACAGAAAAATATTTATTAAAAACATTTCAGTTATTTACATTAAACATTTTCATTATTTACATGTCACAACAAAAGATGGTATGATTGATTTAAAAAAGTATTACAACAATAACAAAGAATATATTCAGTAAAAATATGCAAGTTTTTGAGAGGAAAAAATATAAACACATAGGTAGTTCCTGTACAATATAAAATAAGTAATTGCATGTTTTTAATTGGTAGTTAAAAGTTTCCTTACACATTTTTCAAGTACACAGCTATCAATTATCAGGGTTTTACAATTCAAAATGCGAAGGCGAGAAAATATGTATTTTTGGCTTAAAAATATTTCTGAATACAATATGAAAATTGCTTAATATGATTTATTCTAAACCTGAAGGTTTTCTTTCAAACAAGCGACAGAGTTCTCTAACAGAATATACTGTTCTGTAATGATGCTTTTTAATACATACTTTTAAAACTTCATGTCAAAAATAAAGATAACAAAGTATACACATCAGGGGGAACAAACATAATATTTAACAGATGGGGAAAAACACAATCAAAATCTAAGAAAATTTCTATTGAAGAAGGCACGATGGAAAGAGTCAAAACCTGTTTGATTACCGGAGGAAACAGAGGAGAGCTAAAAGATGCGATTATTAGAAAAACTCTTTCCAAGTTAACTGGTTTTTATGCATTTCATTCTCCTGCTTTATTCACTAGTTTCTCAACAGATTTTGATAGCCCTCTTTTTCTTTCTTGGTTGAAAATTAATCTGTGATTCTTAGTTTTGGATTTAATTTTTGACAACAGATTCCAAAAATATAAATTAAGAAAGGCTAATATGAAATCCTCACACATGCATAAAAAATGAGATTGTACTTCCTTAGTTTAGCACAGCATTACGAGTATGAATATACAATAAGATTCAATAAAGCAAATTAATGAAAATTAATCTTCAGTTAGAAATCTGAATTAAGTGAAACTATTTTAATCCGAATTTAATATTAAGAAAGTTAAAAATAAAATTCTAAAGCAAATTAAGCCCATTCCTTTCATTCATTCTAAGTAATAGAAAACTCCTGCTCCTGACCCCTTTAGCCAGAGAGTTAACCAGTTAACCTAAATTATTTTTCACTCACATTTAACCCACATTCTCCCCAGAGTGCTGAAAATTCTTAGTAGTACTTAAGTGAAAATGAAAATAAGGGTGATCTTGTTATACGAAAGGATGACATTGTGGTATAGATGCAAAATATTGCTGTTCGTCTCCAGCTCAATGATCCCACTTTCACTTTTTGTAACTTTTTATGAATGATTAAGTTGTTTTGGTACAGATATCCAGCAATTCCCAAGCCTTATTACCAAAATAATTTTAATGTTATCGATCATATAAAAATTATGTTCCTTGAAATTTGATGAAAATAAATAACTGATTTCACTAACCAGTGAGTTTATTACCAGCAGGCACTGTAAAATCTTGAAAATGAAAAAAATTTCTTTAATTCTACCCCTTCTGTTGAACAGGAAAAATTAATGATTTACTGCTGAGAATGCTTCTGAATTCTATTAAACTTAATGACAAATTTTAATTTATTCACTGAATATCTTTAACTTGCACCATTAGGTGATATAGAGCACAATTAACAAATTTTATTTGGACAGTTGCAACCCTTTTAACACGGTTCACTTTCTCAAAAATTGAAAATTTTAAATGATTAAAAAAAATTTCTTCTATTAATACAAGGTATTTTTTTTCAAGAATTTTTTAAGACGTCGTAAACATAACGAGTTTCGAGGTTCATATCTGAAACAATGAAAAAAATTAAAGAAACAAGTGAAATTTTTTTTAGAATACTATAGAATATTTATAAAAAAATATAAATAAAATGCACATGTCATGCATTTTCAACGAAAAAGGACTGACCAGGTGGCAACTGGCAGACAATTTTTAGCACACCATTTTCTAATTGCCATTTGTTATATTTAGTCGACCTGTGTTTAGTGTCGACAGTTAATTTTGCTCAGTATTGGGTGACAAAGAAATAAGTGTTGATATGACAATTATTTAGTGCATTGATTTGAAGTTAACGATTTTCTCCGATGATTATACACTCATCAGAATAACAGGAGAGAGAATGGACATATATTGACTTTAAAACATTTAGTTCTTCCATGTTGTATGAATCATATTTCTTCCTCAATGAATCTGGGCACTTTCCCCAACAATAAAGATAATTATCTGGAAGAAATAAAAATATCTCACAAGGTAAAAACTAACTACATCTTGACCAAAACTTTGAATTGCTTTAACTCACAAAAAATTAGTCAAGGTACAAATGATTTTTTTCAATTTCGAAATTTAACAAATGTTCTCATTTTCTTAAGAAAAAGTTACATATCCTATATTAGATATTACATATCCTATTTTTTTACATATCCTGTATTACCCTTTCTAGTGATGAGCTAGGGACAATTACTGAAAGCATACTAAACTTCACACTTCAGTTCGATTATTTAAAAAATGCTTTTAACGGGCTACTGTTTGAACGTCAGTTTATAGCGCAGAAAAATAGATATTTTCTGTAACTGAATTTTATTACCTAGAGGATTTTGTTAATGATAAAATATTCTTTTATTAGTTCACAGATGATAAATTAAGTATAGACACATTAAAATTACTACTAAAGCCGGGATAATCTGGTTGATAGGGCATTGGGCCCATGATCAAGAGGTCGCGAGTTTGATCCTGTTGGCCGAAGACTCCGCAAGTAGTAAATGATGACTGGTGCACCTTAAGTCTAACGGGTTACAAAGTTCTCCAAATTCCCGTAACAAATCAATACCTCTGGAGGTATGGAATTGGAGATTGATTGCTCTCTGGTTCCGGTCAAAATTACAATCTGTGAATAATTAAATGTATGTATGAATGGGTCCGCACTCTAAACCAGGCTGTGACGTGTTTGGGGTGAAGACGTATTCTTGGTCAAAGATGGGGCCACTGAAAAACAAGAAACCCACACTCTGCTTTAAATTCGCTTGGTGTCGCCAAGCAGGCTTGCTGATATTGGCAAGTGGCATTGGAAATAACAACAAAACTATTAATATGTAGCTTACAGCCAACAAAAAGAGAAAAAGAAATCAAGTATATTATAATATTGATTGAAGAAAAAAAGTTATTTTTCGTAATTAAAAAGTTTTTCCATACTTTCATTACTAAGTTGGCATCACTAATTAAACAAAATTTAACAATGATATGCTTTGCTATTAGTACTTAAAACTAACCACTTTTATAATTTTTTTTTAAGTGTATGATAAATTGCAGAAAAGAATATGTATTTGGAAAAAATAACAATGGACAATTTTTATTTTATTAAAACTTTTAAGAGTTCTAAGAAAAATCAAAATAAGTAAAAAATTATTAGATTTTATAAAAAGAGTTGAATTTTCTTTAAAGAAAAAACTATACTTACCATTGCAAACAGCCAATGTATAAGAGTTGGCACAGTTCACTGATAACAATTTTATGCCACTAAGTTTCTCAATTCTTTGTGGCATGCTATAATCTAATGCTGAATTTCCCCAACCAAGTTGAAAATGACGATTGGATCCTACAGAATATAATTCATTGGTTTCTGGAATAGAAAATACTTTATTTGATAAAAAAAATTAATAATATGTATTAGTATTATATAACAATAACATATATGCAATGATAATTTTGTTTCCAATTATTTAATTAATTATTTTCAAATTATTAATGAACCTAATTTTAAGATATTACTTAAAATCTAACAGGCATATCTGTACAGTGTTACAAACATGAAAATTATAATAAAATTAAAGAATTCCTTTAGATTCTTGCACAATTCAACTATTTGAGAACTACTAGTTGGTACTCAATATGTTGGAAATTTGTTTCTATATTTTTTAAAAGAATATATTCAATAACAATATTTTTGAGATAAATCCTTTGTTACTTCAAAAATTCTAGTGAAAAAACAATAAATGTACATATTTTCTAACTTGCAATAGCTTAGATAAAAATTTTTTCACTATTTACTACCTTATTCTGTTTATATTAAGTGAATAATCAAGCACTCAAGCTTTATAAAATTATTTATTTATATCTTCAGTACAGTATAAGAAAATAGCTATATATANATATATATATATATATATATTCTCAAATGAAATTTTTTTCTACATAATTTTCAGGAAAGAAAACTATTTTATTTAATCCCTTTCTTCTAAATCATAAAATCTCCAACTGAATTATATGACTTTTAAGACACCTCAACTCTTTTATTTTGCAAAAGAAGCTTTTAACACCAAGCATAGCAAAGAACTACCTTACTTTATAAAACAATACTATATTAAAAAAATAGTGATTGGGTTTAGGTTATGAGCATATTTTAATGCTATGTACTATACTTTTTTAAATTTACAATATATTAGTTGATTGAAAAAAAATATCACAAACTTAAAAAATACATTGTGAAGTAATTTTTAAGAAATAATAGTTTGAACTTTTTTTTTTTTATAGTTTGTTTTTGGGCGAATTAAAAGAATGTGGAATATCTGGCTGGGAGGAAGCAAGATCTATTGCTAAAGACAGGGGGCGTTGGAGGGATATGCTGGAGGCCTTAAGTGCCCAAGGCACGTAGAGGATAAGTAAGTAAGTAAGTAATAGTTTGAACATAAGCAAAAATAAACATGCACAGTACCTTGCCAGAAATGTTTAACTTCTTATTAAAAACAAAAAACACGGACTTCACAGATATAAACTTATAGTTTAACTATATTTACCTTGTTTATTAATCAAATACTTACCAGTTAGAAATGCGGAATGAGATTTTCCTGAACTAATGGATGTGATTTTTTGGCATGACAGAGGCTCTGAAGCAATTAAAGTAAACAGATGCACATTTTCAACAGGAAACCCTTCTCCTGTATCCATTGCTAATTTGTTATGTCTGATAAAAAATGAGAAGAAGCGATTTAATCATTGGCTTGCTTATGTTAGTGAAATGACATTTAAACAAAATTTAAAATGCTTGAAAAACTGGGGGAGGGAGAAAAAAAAGGTTATGTAACTTATTTTTTTAAAATTTCTTTTTTTCCATTCACATTCAGAGAACAGTATTTAAGAAATAAACTACTATTAAGTAAAGATTTTAAAATAATATGTTAAAACTACAAGTACTAAAGTGCCTTTAGACTACTTTTTTATAAATAAAAAAGTTAGAAAATAAATACAGAGACATTTTATAAATAAAAAAAACATATAATAGAACGTTAAAAAAACATTATTAACTAAGCATTAAATATTAACTAAACATTAAATATTAACTGAACATTACTAATTGATTTAAAACACTAAAATATTTAACAGACTATTTTATTCATTAAAAAATGGAAAAAGAGACAAAATACATGAAATATATTTTAGGAAGAAAATAAATTCCAAGAAAAATGCAGAAAATAATAAGTACCTGTTACTTCCACAGGCCATGACTGACATATCTGCTAAAATTATAAAAGAGCAATCCATCCCACAAAATATTTTTTCAGGTTTAATTTCACTGGAAATGGTTACTAACTCTGGTAAAAGTTTCAAATCAGTAGTATCCGAACTTAAGCATCCTGGTTCAAAAGTATTAATTAATAAAATTAATTAATTAAATAATGTTAGAAATAAGGATATTAAAAAATTTAAAGGAATCACCAACGTTTTTAGTGGCACAAGAACTCATTTAAAAAAGTCAGTAAATGCCATACAAAAGCAGTTATATATAAAGATATAAATAATATTCTATAATATTTTTCTGTAAGGAAAGAATGTTTATATATATAGATTTGACAAGAAACTTGAACCACAATGTCAACAGCAAAGAAATGAAAGTCCCAGCAACAATGAAGCAATATATGTTTACATGGTGAAGTTAGATGTATTTCAATTGTTTATTATAAAACACAATAGGTGATTCTCAAAATTATCCAGTGCACTGTAAAAAGTTGCTGATCAAATTATGATAAAAAGTACTGCCAACATGAATAAAACATCCTTAAAATCCATTTTAACTGAAAAATTTTATGCCATAATTTTTACTGTAATATTTAATTACAGGGATTTTACAATAAATATTACAGTGCAAAATAATATTAATATAATATTTTTCAAATAGAAGAAGTTGGATTTAGTTTTTTAATTATGTCAAAAGTTATATGTTCATAAATGTCCTTTAACCTGATATGTTTGCTATAAAATCGTGATAATATATTATTTACAATATTTATTACAATATATTGTCCTTTTTACTTTATTATTTTCAGAGAAAGCTTTTTTTGTATAATGGGCTGATAAAATAAAAAATTACTCTGTTGGGACAATCTTAGCTGCAGTCATAAAAATCAAAAGTGCATTTAGATTCCACTTGAAAATAACATGTATGAGACTTAATGTGTAAATGCAATTCTCAAATCTGTGTTATAAATTTCAATGCCCTGTGACAAGAACCTGGTATAAAATTCTCATCATGCAGTCAGGACTGAGTATCAAGCTAATTTTAATCTAGTAAATGCAATTCTCAAATCTGTGTTATAAATTTCAATGCCCTGAGACAAGAACCTGGTATAAAATTCTCATCATGCAGTCAGCACTGAGTATCAAGCTAATTTTAATCTAGTAAATGCAATTCTCAAATCTGTGTTATAAATTTCAATGCCCTGTTAGCTTGATACTCAGTCAGTACTGGGTATCAAGCTAATTTTAATCTAGTAAATGCAATTCTCAAATCTGTGTTATAAATTTCAATGTCCTGTGACAAGAACCTGGTATAAAATTCTCATCATGCAGTCAGCACTGAGTATCAAGCTAATTTTAATCTAGTAAATGCAATTTTCAAATGTGTGTTATAAATTTCAATGCCCTGTCACAAGAACCTGGTATAAAATTCTCATCATGCAATCAGCATTGAGTATCATGCCAATTTTAATCTTGTAAATGCAATTCTCATCATGCAGTCAACACTGAGTATCAAGTTAATTTTAATCTAGTAAATGCAATTCACAAATCTGTGTTATAAATTTCAATGCCCTGTGACAAGAACCTGGTATAAAATTCTCATCATGCAGTTAGCACTGAATATCAAGCTAATTTTGCCTACTGTCCTGATTACTGAAGCACTCTATTATGCTTGACATAACCATATTATTATTTATTCTAAACTCAAAACTATTGATAAAAACATCAATAGATTTTGAAACTCATACCGTCCATCAGTTTCTTGGATATTTCAGCTGATATTACTGGTATATGCATGATTGATTTAACTATACAATTTTGGTATTTATTACTTTATTAGAAGGAAATGAAATAAATGTAATAAAATACATTTAAAATCAAATGAATTGTGCAAGCAAAATTGTATTGAGAGTGAAAGCGCACAGTGATCTAGGGGTTATTTTGGGTAGGGTTCAAAATAGTAAGGATATAGAGCTGTAATATAAATTCTCTTCAATGTTGGGTATATAAATTCTCTTCAATGTTGGTAATAATTTCTAGCTGATTGTGTACAATTTAAGAGCTTGTAATAATTTAATTATATTTCCAATAATCTATGTAAAAGAATAACATTAAAAAAACAAATTATAACAGTTGAAACAGTTTTAGTTCAATATTTCATATTTTATTAAAAATAATTAAAATACAGTTTATATTTAACAGAGGTTATATTAATAAATGCTAATAAAAATGTAAATATATCAGATGATAAATTATAAGCCCTATATCACAAAGTCTTATGCCAATTGTTTCACATGTGATTATCTTCATAAAAAAATATTAAAAATTTCTTTAATAAGTATTTTTTAATTATAGCATAAAACATGTATAATACAGAAAATAAATACGCGTTTTTAGTTACAATATTACACATTGTAAATTTACAAAAAATTGGAACTTGAAAATATTTGTTAAATAGAAAAACTATAAGATTTTAAAATCTTTTTGCGTAGTTGTTTTGATATTATACCGGGTTATAGATACAAAGTTTCAAGAGGGAAATTTTTGTCCACCTCCAAATGGTCTTGATTAAGTACTTGGGAATTAACATCTGTTATTTTCCTTTAATTTTTATTCAATAATAGTTCTGTACTTACAAATACTAGATATAATGGTATATAATAGTAAGAACAGTTGCAATAATACTTTTTCTTGGAATCTATATTAACTTTAGATGTGAATAGCATTTTTAACAATTTACATTGCATTGAAAAATTTTACAAATGTTAAGCATTTTCAAATTAAAAAAAATATTATCCTTCAGGAATTTCGTTTAATGATTTTTTTAGTTTATTTCATGATACACATTATTAATATACTTACTATTAATAATTTGTGTATTAATTATGATTTGTGCATAAATTGTAAACATAAAAAATTTATTTAAAATAAAGGACATGATTATTAGAATTATTATTTTTCAAAAAACAGTTACTTGGTGATTAACATATAACAGTCTGCTGAAATAATCCATTTTGATTAGCCTTGCGTTTTAAATAACATTTGTAGAAAAAAAATGAAAATAATCTTTACCGTGATCTCCATGGCCCCAAGAAAAAAGTTCATTTTCATCTGATAGAGCAAGCACATGCTTTGGGCCACAGGATATATCTCGAATGTTGAAGTTAAACAATTTATCAATGATTTTAGGCTATAAATATAAAAATGAAATGGATTCATTTTTAAAATTCAAAGTTGCATAGAAATAGAATGTATGAAGATGCATTTACTTGTTCAATATCTCTTTCAGTCGTGTAACCTAAGCAACCTGATGAGGCTTTACCAAAACTGAAAACTACACCATTGTCTACATTAAAAAAAATTTTATGAATTTTTTTTGTCTAAATTAGTAGTTATACAAAAATGTAAAAGCATTTTAACAGAAATAAATTCTTTTGGTAGTTAAAACTTTACTCTAATAGTAAAGAAATCTGTTAAGTTATTTTATAAAGATACTAACAAAGCAACATATTTTTATTTTATTTTATAACAATACTAATACTAAAGATAATTATAAGAAGAAATAAATACTAGTTATAATTTTTATTTACAATTAGAAATCATAAATACAGTTAAAAATAATTAGGTTTTACATTAATCAACATCTTTTTTTTTAAAATCAATTCATTTTAATATAATAAGACACTAAAATGAGATAACCACAATAAAGTATGGTAAAGTAGTTAGGGCACTATAGTCTAGATCACAAAAAATATTATTTCATGAAACTCTTTTTCTCAACTCAAACAATTATTCATGCCAGCCAGAATGAAGAATGCAATGAATGCAGAATGAATGAAGAATGCAGAAACAAGCCAGAATGAAGGTTTATAACTAATTATCCTCATCAGAAAAAAAAATAAATTTAACAAAAAGAAGTTTTACTCACTTTAGTTGTCACTAAAAAATTAAAATGCTTATTTAATTTTATTATTTTCTACACTTTAGTTTAGAGTTTGTAAGTTTATGTCAGAAAGTGGTCAAATAAATTCAGTTTGTTGATAAAAGTTCTATTTATCACAATAATAAAATTATCGAAACTTTTTTTCTTCTGATAAATAACTCAGCAGAGTTTTAAGTTTTTAAGATCATTGATTTCAATAATATCAAAAGTTATCTAATATACCAAATACAGTAATCCAATTTTTGTTTCTATACAGTGCATTTCAGGAGTAAAATGATAAAATAATAAATTTAAATTAAGAAAATAAGCAATTCGAAAATTAAATTTTTTGTTCATAACACAATAATGTAATAGTAGAAACAATTGATTGTTAAAAAAGCTTGCTTAGGAGCATAAGTTGAAATAATAATAATAAAACATTTAATTTCAATTTAGATTTGATAAATTAAATATTCTCACGGGGATAAAAATATTTTCACAACAAGATTTATGGTTAATTGGTCATGGTTGTTATAGGATCAAAAAGTAAAATCAAATGTTCTCTAATTTGAAAAAAGTCACGCACACAGAGAAAGTTTAATCATTAAAATAAAAAATTAACTTACTCGATAAACAAATTGTAAAATTTTGACCACAAACCACTGAAATGATATTGATTGCAACACGTTCATCAATAATACATGGTATAATGGATGATGCTACTACTTTTTCTTGAAAATCTGTTTCAGAAATATTACTAACCTATGATAAAAAAAAAATCTTTCTTATTCATATTTATAATTGCATTATAAAATAAATATTCTTTTATAATTTGTATAATTAAATACTATGATATTCTATTTTATACTGTTCAACAAAACAAATTAAACTGACAATTAAATGATCCACACTTTAAGACTACATTGTTTGGTATTATAAACTGGTATTAAGCTATAACCAAAACAATCTAAATTGATGCCTATCAAACTTACCCAATATTAAATTACACAATTCATTTTTAAATGATTAATAAATAATAGAAAAAGGATTTAATAATAACTATTACTTATTTTTTTTGGAAGGGAGGGGAGAATAGATTCGTTAAGAATGCAAACATAAAAAATTCTAAAAAATAAATGTGGAAATCTTAATCACACTAAATTTAAAACCTAACTAAATAACAATAGAATATCTCCAAGCAATCATTACTTTTTTTACAATAGCTTAAAATTTAATTTATTAAAAATTTTATTACATAATTTATTAAATCTACTAAACAACACATTAGGGAACATCTTATCCCGTCAATTGCACAAAGTTAAATTCTACTAAATAACACACAAATACCCAAAACTAAATAACAATAGAATATCTCCAAGCAATCACTACTTTTTTAACAAAAGCTTAAAATTTAATTTATTAAAAATTTTATTATATAATCTATTAAATCTACTAAACAACACATTAGGGAACATCTTATCCCGTCAATTGCACAAAGTTAAATTCGTTTAAGTATGGGGAAAAAATTGGGAATTCCTCATTGTGTTTGGCGTTAAACAACTGCAATATTCTAAAAACTAAGCTAGTGAATAAAGTATCAAATAAACAATAAATTTTGAACATCAAAATGCAAAATTTCAAATATAGTGAATTATTACACAAAGCACAAAACTAAATTTTTACTTGCATTAAACAAAATATTAATTTTATGCAGTTGTAAATTCAACAATATGTACGTTCATTTTCAAGTCTTTTTCCTTTTTTTCCTCCTTAAAGTTGCTTTTTTATATATTCAGTAATGGAACTAAACGTTTTGTCAAATAATGCAGAAACAGATTCCTAATAAATTATTGAACTTCTACTAAATATTTTAGACTTAACCAGACATCATTTATGTTTTCTGAGTGGAAATAACTCAATTGGAAAAATTTAAATGTAGCAAACAAAGAAAAGGGCACATTTTGTGCTATGTAGACTAAAAAAATGTGAATAAAGCACAAATGAAAGTACATTAACTTTTATTGTACGTTTATTTGTGCTTTATTAAAGAATTTTTTTGCTATATTTAATTATAGGTTAAAAAGAAATAATTAATTAAAGAATTTCAACACATAAAGACAGTCATTACTAGAAGTTCAGGTCGATTTTTCCAAGTCATCAAAAAACCATTATCAGTAATTCCAATTTTTTTACTTTCACTCAAAGCTGCGCATATAACAACATTCTTGGGCAATGTAGGGAGCAAGCTGTAGGTATCTTTATCCTTTTCAAAATACCATAAATATGGAGACACAGGACTGCCAATGCAAGAAAAAGACCTTCTTTTTTCTCCCATGGAGGAATCTATAGGAATAAAGAAATTTAAATGCTTGGCAAATTTAAACATTTTAGACTTACTCTTTATAAAGGAAAACTGGTTGAAAGCATTATAAAATGATAGTTAAAGAAATGGTAAAATTTAATAAGTGAATAAAAACAGTGATTTCAATCACTTGATTTTTTATAAATCATTTACCATTTTAATCAATAAAATAAAAAAAAAAATTATTTAAAAATCAACTGCTTTGTTTCAGAGATTTTAAGCAGCGTGTGAGAGTAAAAAAAGAATATTTGAGGTAATACAAGCTTAAGCAAGTATTATAACATTTACCAATTACCAACAAACTAACAGAAGAAAAAAAGAAATGCAAAGATAAGCGATAAAATTATACAGATGACAAACATTGTTGACCTTTACTACATCTTGAATTTATGTTTACTGTCAAAATGCATGTTCATATACTTTTTTTTATACTTTGACATATTTTAGGCCTAAAAAACTACTAATGGTATGAATTTAGTAAGATATTTGTTCTTCTTATGTTACTGATCTTATAATACATAGTGGGAAATTTATTAAATATTTAACTATATTGATATAGAAAGGATATGAAAACGGTGAAATGTGTTCTTTTGTAACAAGTGAGTAAAATATTAGTCACATATTAATATGCATAAATTATGCTTCCTAAAATAATTTAAATAAAATTTTAAGCATTTGAAACATTTATATTTGATATTCATTTAAATGTTAACTTAAAAAAATCTGATTTAAAAACATAAATAAAAAATTATCTGCAATTGTTTTGACATAAAAAATCTCAAAAAATTCTGATTACTGAATTTAAAATATTGGTAATTATAATAAAAAAACTGGAACAGGCATTTCTATTTATATAATCATAAAAATTGACGGCTGGAAAATTTTTTGATTTACAGTAGTGTTAACTCTGCGGAAACAACATTTCTTCAATTGCATATATCGTGGAAAACTTTATAAGTTAATTTTGAAAATCAAATCTTTTAGTATTGAGGTTAATCACACTCTTCTTTGTCTTATTATTTACTTATATATTGATAATTTTTTTTCACTAACTGTAGTAAACACAGGGAATATAAATTATGGTATCTTTTAAAGTTTACATTTTACTGTGAATAATGCACATTTTTTGTTTTTTTATGGTGAGAAATATCTAACAGATAGGCTAAGTGAACTTAGCTAACCTATTTATGAACCAAGAATTACCATTAAATAATTAGTTTTTGAGAAAGAAATATTTCTAAAATTGATGTTATAAAAAGAAGAAAATGTTATAACCTTCATGTTCACTGTAGTTAAAAACAGTTTTTATGCATATAAAAGCACAATTTCTTAAAGCCTTGACAATGATCTTTTAATGATCAATAAATTTTCCATATTAGTTGTAGAAGTAAGGAATATTGTTTCCATAATTTTAACACAATAGTAAGTATAAACTATTTTAGGTAGTATAATTATAAACTATTTATATTATGCAAAATGTGAAGAAGAACGATATCTTTGAGCTGCGAGATATACAACTTAAAACACAATGAGAGAAACAAAATTCAAAATAGATGATCAACATACAACAGTTTCAATGAGTTAATAAAAACTGAGCATCATCATACTGAGAAATGAACAATTGTTATTGTTGAGAAAGAGAATAATAATTTAATAAAAATGGCTCCTCACTAGACTCTTTAGAATGAGGATGCACTTAATCAGACTTCATGCAAAAAGTCCTAATACTTTGTCGAAAATTTTCTAAGTTTAAAAAAAATCCAAAAAAAAAAAAAAAATCCAAAATAAAAGTCTATTCCATTTTTTAAGAAAAAAATCCTTTCATTTTCACAATTCTCAATTCATTTTCGAAACAGTGTTACTGTGCTAGGTGGAGAAAAGAAGGTTTATATTTTTGACATGAGGTGCATTCAAGATTGGTTTAAATTGTGAAAAACAGTCAGAAAACTAAGATGACAGTCACATTGTCATACTGCAAGTGAAGTTTTTTGAATGTGAAATACTTAAAACAATAAATTAAAATATAGATATATTTAAATATATACTAACATATAAATATATGATAACGTATTTATATATAATACAAGTAGATTATATTAATGTTGAAATTACAGTATTGAGAGGAAACAAATTTTTACTTCATCTTCATATTTTCAATTTTTGATTCATTTCATTTGAGAGGTCTCATGTTCTCCAGGAATTTTGAAATAGATTCATTTCAATCTTTAAATGGTGCAATTATTAAAAGTTAGTTTTCATATTATTGAAAAGAAATTATCTTATTTCGAAATATTAACTTGAATTTTTTTTTAAACTGTAGACTCTCACACTTCTTTACAGTAAACACATTAAATCCAACTTATAAAATTGTATTAACATATGAATGGAATCGTTCAAAGAAAACAAATAGTTAGTAGAATTATAAATTTTAACAATGCAGCAATCAGCAATTTAACTTTTAAACTTATAGGTTGACATAACCCTCTTATATGAAAGATGGCATAGATAATTATAAAAATGTTTAAAATTATTTTTAAAATGTAGAATGTCTTCTTTAAAACAACTTAGCAGCAACAGAGTTTTCAGTATATCTTTTGTTAGCATAGGGTGGTTTTTATTTCAAATAAATTTATGTATTAAAAGTAGTTTTTCTTTGGAAAACATTTTTTTTTTTTACTTTATGGTAAATGATAAAGAAATGAGCATTTAATATATAACCTGAACATTACATGGGATATGCTATTTAAGGGATGAACCGGTAGCAGAAACCTTTCAGAATGGCAATGAGCACTGTTGATTATCACAAAGAAAAAATTGCCAAGCTTTCTTTTCAAGGCATATTTAAACTAGTTTCTAATCAAAATTATATAGCCGAGCTGAGAGAACACCGAAAAATAAAGAAACAGTTTTTTCCTGTTAGTTGATAATAGACTTATATTGTATAAAGATTTATTCCATCTTTTTATTATCATATTATAATTCAAATTAAACTTAGACGGCATAAATTTTATATGAATAATTTTTAAACTTGTATATATCTGTTAAATTAAGTTAAATTTAACAGATAAATTAAGTTAAATTATTAAGTTATAAATTAAGTTAAATTAATTATCTGTATAAATTAAGTTAAATTTTTACAAAAATAATCTTTGTCTGACTGTATTGGGATTGCAGATAAATTTGGATTTATATTTGGATAATATATATACATTATTTTTGAATATTTGGATAATAATAGTGCTTCAGATTTACTTCATAAATTCTGCTACTGGGGATATGAATAATATTTGCTCCAACCATTAAATGATATTTTTTAAGATTTTAATGTGTTAGTTTTATCTAGGAACAGAACATTAAAAGATTTATACATATTATAAACTTACCAACCCAAAAAAATAAATAGAATTTATTTGTATTATGTACATTATTTTGTTCTGAAACTTTTGATCATACATTTATACTATGAAACACAAAGTTTTTTAACTGTTGACCGCCATGTTTCTTCCTTGGAATTAAAAGAGCGTGAGAATGGCACAAAAGCTGTAGGTGTTCTTCGAAAGTACCCGGGTCAATTATCTCACTATGAGCCGAGAGAAAGAATAAGTAGAATTGCCAAGATTCACAGCTAAAATCTATGCACTCTTAGTTAGTGGGTGTCGACACACAATGATTCCCGACCTTGAAAATACAACGACCACTCGGGAAAGATGAACTTGTTAGGAAACTGACCTGTAAATGCCTGTGATAGCTCAATATATTCTGTTTTGCCTGGTGACAAGTTCAAACCTATGCTGGATTCTGATGCTAACAGCTATTGTTCTACTAATTATGTTACATTAATAAATATGTACACCCCTGCTAATAAATAGTTAATGCATCTTTCCTGATTCTCACAATCTTATAAACTCTGTTTACATACCTTTTTTGTACAAAACCATACACATATTTTAAAAAGTTTCATTTGTATCTGAAAAAATTCTTATTAAATTACACAAGTTATTAGTTAGTAATTAAAGTAACATGATTATTTTGAGCAACAAAATTATAAGATAATGTAAAGTAACTGCTGTTAAGGGAAAATAATAATAATAAATAGAAATGATTCAATATTTTAAATAAAAGAGAAATATCTATGAACTCACAAGAACTTGATGAAAGATACTCTTTTTCTTCAACTTTCAGATTCTTTGTTTTTCTAGGTGATCTATAAAACAAAATATTATTCAATTTAAAAGGACATTTTTTTAAAGGTTTGAAAAGCATGGAAACAGTCAAACATCTTGAGAAAAACTATTGGATCAAAAATATAAAAATGTTTCACGCATACATTTTTATATTTTTAAAATATAAAAATGTATGCGTGAAACATTTTTAAATTATACATTCAATGATACCAAAACTAGACTTCTAACCTCATTTCAGCATTAAAACAAGAGATGATTTACTCAACATTGATTGTTGTACTTTTTATGGTATTGCTGCAATCATTTCATTGGCTATACCATATAAGCTCTTAAACAGTACTGTTCTACTTTATTTAACATGATATTTCATGAATTGATTTAAAAATGTCTTTAAAAAAACAAAGTTATGTAAGATTTTCTTTGTTAACATTACACTTTAACAATACATTTAACATTACATCTTACTAATATTAACATAAGATATTTCTTACATTGTAAATTATTATGAAACTTAAATTAATAGAAAAATATATTAATCTGAAATAGAGATGTGATGTGAGAGAATATTCTTGAAGATTGAGAACATTTTCTGGAGGATGAAATCTAGAAAACAATTTAGATTATTCTATTTCCTCATAGATAAAAAAGAGTTCCTCAAAATTTTCATATTATAAAAATTTTCATATACATAAAAAAACATTGTACAGGAAAAGTAGCTCATTTATTATTCTCAAACAAATCAAAAATTATATTTAAGTATACTCATCCTATAACAGATAATGGGTAGTTTTTATTCCAAGAATTTCCTTTGAACTGTGATTCTAAAGATTTTTTTAACAGAACAAATGGTTTTTGTTTTTTCAATTTTTTTGCTCGAAAACAAAAACCTTCAACATTCCTAAAGATTAAAGCTTTTAATGCAGTTTTTATTTTACAAAAAAAAGGAAGGAGAAGAAATCTAAACTTTGTTGACAAAAAGTTGATAAAATTCTTGACAAAGCTTTTATTAAAGTTTTGAAACAAAATTTTATATAGTTGAAAATAATACTCAAGCTTTGACAATGAGCTTTCTTTAGTAAGATATGTCTTAATTTATTTTGTGATTGATTGTTGAATTTCGTAGCATGACTTTTAACAATAATTTTTTTTTAAAATTACGTCCTTACATTTGCTTAAGCATAATAAGTCTTGCAGTTCAATATTTAAAAAAAATGTATCTCCAGAAGTAGTAAGCCTCTTGAAATAGGAAGAAATGCAGGCCTTTAGGAGGGCAGAACAGTTCCAGAGATGCTCGCCATTCAGGTCAACATATTCCTCACACAAACTTGCAGTTAGAGGAGTCAACAACTCCAATGTGGTGTTAATGTGACAGTAGAAAGTAGTGTGCAGTAGCTTGAAACACAAAACCCTGAGAGTCGTAGGGAGGTTCCTGGGGATATGATTTAAAAAGAATCTCTCAAGAAGTTAATGTTTCTCAGGTTAGCAGGAGACTTGAGTGGGTCAAAGAGAGGTGCCTCTTTTGCAAGATTATCTGCATTTTCATTACCCTGCAATCTACATTGGCTAGAAAACCATTGTAGAATTATTTCCTTTCCAGTAGATTGTTAATGAAGTGTTTACAATTAAATTCAATGTAGTATACAGAGGGGCATAATTTGTAACTGCATGAATTGTAGCTTGACAATTAATAAGGAGGGCAAATTTCTGACTTCCTCCCTTTCTGATTTCAAAAGAATAAATAAAACTTCTATACTAAGAATAGTATTTTAAGAGCATCATTTATGACTGAATTGTGCCTTAGAATTATTCTTAAAACGAAATTATCAGAATTGTTTTTGAGAATGATTTTGAATGTTTTGACAACAATTTTCAAAAGGAAAAGAAAATATGTTTTATTTTAATTACTGAACTAACACAACTACATCAAATATATTAATTAATTACATTTTTGCTGATTTCTAATATATTTTTTAAAACTTTATGATAATATTTTATAAACAATAATTATTTTATTGTTTTAAGAACAATTTTAAAAACTGTTTCTTTTTCATTTTGATATTTGTATAGCTAATTTATCTGAAAAAATAAATCTTAAAAGAAATATATTAATAATTTTTAAATAATGAGATGAAATCAATCGTTTGTATTTAAGCCTGTTCTTAATGTGTTTTTTTAATTCTTAAAACATTAACTCATTTGTAAAATGCTATTAATTATGTAAATATTAGCTAGGAGAATATTCTCCTTGATGTAAATACGTATAAGAATATTCTCCAAAAGATTATTACCATGAATTTTACATGCTACAGCTGAGCTTGCTTGTATGTATTCTGTATGCAAGGCTCGACACGACAACTTTTAAAAACATATGCAATAAACAGTTACAAAATGTTTTTTATTTCATGGTTTGGCATAGTAGTACTCTTTAAAGGCAATACACATTTTTAAATTGGTCTGCAATATAATTAGAGTAAAATATTGCGTATTATAAATAAATCAAAAATTAAATAAATCAATAAAATTAGAAAAATAAATTAAAGGTTAAAAAATTAATTTATAACTTATTACTTAATATAGTTATACTTTCCTGGCATTTTTCTTGATTAATTATATTTTGTGCTACTTTACAATTCTTATTTATTTAATTCTTATTAATTTATTTAAAAAATATCTTTAATCAAATATTTAACCCTTAAAATATTAACATACCTCAATTGTTTGGTTTTCATTTTTCATGCAGAAGATTGATTGTTTTGAAAGACAGCAAAATAAAAATGTTGGCAAGCATTTTACGGTTACTAACTATATAATACTGCTATTAATAAAATTTTAATCACACAATCAACTATAAAAATAATTCCACTATCCATGATAATATTTACTTGTACTATCAATTACAAGAAAAACTGGTGTAATTGAGAACTCTTTTACTGAAAAGAGTATAAAAAATGCCAAGAATGATAGAGTAAAATGCAAAAATATCAAACAAATCATAATTACTTGTTGGATAAAGGAATCGACCCAATTTCAAGATAAAGTTTAAAAATAACTTTTATCATAACAGGGTTGCACATAATTTGTGCAGCAGTGGGTCTTTGATTTGAATCTAAATTTAGCATGCTCGACAATAGTTTCCTCAATTCCAAGCTGTAAATATTTGGCACAGGGTCAAAAGAACCTTTCATAATTTTCATAATTAGAGCTGGTAGTGTCTGGAAGTAAAAATAAAATTATTGATTTGCAATTAACAAATGTTGTCTATGAATATATTTGTAAATAATGACAAAATGAATAAAAATGCTGACACTCAATATAAAAAACCCCTGCGGCGATGCCCTGCTCCTACACTTTCATCTTACCTAATGCGAAAGGGCACTTGCACTTCAACTTGGAGTGACGCATTTAAAAACCAGTTTTCCGCCAGCAACCAGGCTACTCCCATTTTCCCTCGTGCACTAGTACGTGATGCACGACTCTCCGATAACTTAAATGTCAATCAGTTCTTTGCTGTATTTATTTGTGATTTTAATAATGTTCAAATTAAATTTATTCCTTAAGTTTTAGTTGGTAATCTGTTCCTTTTAATGCTTGGAAAAACATGATTTACCACACTGGTGACCCGGACGCTAGAAAATGTGTACAACCCTGCTCCTTCCAATCATCGGGAAACTAGATTGGCGATCGCCTGCCGGCCACAAGAGCGACCGCCAACTTCAACGCATTCTCCTGGCCGATCGAAAAACAAATCTTAATTTATTAATCGATACTGGAGCGGACATTTCCGTTTTACCAAAAAGTCATACCACAAATAGAGAAGCTTCCCAGGACTTAGTTCTTTATGCTGCTAACGGTACAGCTATCAAAACATTCGGCACGAAGCGTCTTACCTTAGACCTTAATTTGCGCCGCAGTTTCACGTGGTCTTTTGTCATTGCCGACGTGAGGCAACCAATCATCGGTGTAGATTTTTTGAGGCATTTCAATTTACTCGTTGATGCAAAAAACAATAAGTTAATTGATGCAACTACACAACTTTCGTGCGCCGCGATTA